TCTTATGAACGTGGACTTGGCGCGATTTTTTTTACAGTGAAACTGTTTTTGTTCGGATAATATATATAAATATATGAAAAATTTATGTGGATACTCGAATAAAAGCTATCGACGAGTGTAACATTAGGATGAGCTTATATCTTTTAAAAGGTCAATTTTTAAGAAAATACAGTGCAATTTAACAAATATTTCGTGAACTATTGACATTTTTAAAGATATAAGCTCATCCCGACATTATACTCATCAAGACTTTTCATTTGAGTACCCACATCTATTTTTCATATATTCATATATATTATATATATATGTATATATGAAAAATATATCAAAAATGCATGTGGGTACTCAAATGAAAGCTCTTGATGAGTGTAACATCAAGATGAGCTTATATCTTCAAAAACGTCAATATTTAAAAAAATACAGTGCAATTTAACAAAAGTCATTATTTAATAACGCAAAATTTTATTCATGTATAGTCACGTAGTGACTGCCAGCTTGCTAGTTTAAAAATAATATTTTATAATAATTTGTAAAAAAACAAAAATTCCAAAACAATAAATCTAATTAAAAATAAACTCCTATCTCCTCAATAATAAAATTCCTAAAAATAAAAAACAAAACCAAACCAATTCATATAAAAAAGTAACTTTCACTTGTCATTGGAGCCCCATGTAAGTAAATACTCGCCAATCGATACTAAAAAAAAAAAAAACTTAAATATATTCCCACGATTTTCGCCATTACATTGCTTATCCAGAATTTTCTCCATACCAAATGACATCCAGCATTATTCTACATATAATACACATACAGCAATTGTCTTGAGTCTGACTAGAGTCTCTTGACTTAATTATCCGTCTGCCTCCAGACAAAGCGATCCCTACATACTCAGTACATCTAGTACAACAATAACAAAAAAATAATATTTAACTTCCTCAACAATACATCCATACATCCCATGCATGTATACATGCCTTTATTTCTCCAGCGTGGGTTTTCAGCTGAAAAAGAGACAAAAACAAAATAAAAAACATGCTCCCGCCTGCCTGACCTCATCGCCGTAAATGGTACTCACCAGCAGTCTGACGTCACTTATTCAATGACACTGGTATATGGTACAGTACTCGTAATTAGATATTTAATAATACTTTAAGTTAAATCTCTTCAATTCGCAAATTTATAATTTTTTAATAAAAAAAAATATGATTGCCATTAACAACAATATTAATAATAAATTCATTTTAATTTCACGGGCACTCCAGGTTATCGGCCCCTTCATGAACCGTGTCAGAATAACTGTTTGTGCATTCGGACGTTAAAATATATTTTTATTACGTGCAATAGCTATTATTACAACCGAGTTGCAGTTAAATTTTTAATTAATAACTATTTTAATATTAATAAAAAAATATTAACTTCATTTTCCAGAGAAGAAGTTCGTTGGACGCATAATATAGAGATATATTCTTCATTACTCATATATATATTTATATGTAAGCCTTTATACTATTTTTAGACGTTGTCTCGACGCAGCGGAAACAAGGACTATGTTTATTTCATTTTATTAAGTCAAAGGTATTCCTCTAGGTACAAGAATTCTAAATTCGTTCACTGGTACATTCTAATTATTTTTTTATTGTAAATTGTCATTACCAAAAAATTTATTTTATTTATTTTTATAATTTTCCTAAAAGGTTAAAATAAAAAATAAAATAATAGAAATAATATCAATAAAGATTTATTATTAATTAATTAAATAGAGTTAAAAATTAAGGTTTAATTTCAAGAATAAGTCGCGTGGAGCTGGGTAACGAGAAAGTGGGGTCACCGAGGCTATAAAAGTCCCGCGGCAAGACAAACCAAGCCAGAACGTACTAGAACGTTTCAATCGCCGGCAACTTCTGTTTTTTTATCTCTACTTTACATTCTTCACCATTTATTATATATATTTATACATCCAAAAAATATATAAATATATAACGGAGTTTTGTAATTAATATTTTATTACAGTTTTTTGTGATTTGTGATTGGATCTTGATTTTATTTTTATTAAAAAAATGGTAAGTTTTTAAATGGTTATTTTTTATATTTTTTTTAAGTGCCACGTGGGATACATTTATTTTTAGATATTTTTTTTAACGACACACTTGATTTATTTTATTTTTTATTTATTTTTTTAACAAATTTAAACAGAAAAAAAAAAATTTTTTTTGTATAAAAAAAAAAATTAATAAAATAAATTATCAGAATTTTTCTAATTTGTGTGAATTTTTTTCTGTGGTTTAATTAAAGACTAAATTAATTAATGCGATGTTATTTATAGCGTGAGTGTATCTCAGTCCACGTCGGGCAAGCAGGAGTTCAGATCGGTAACGCTTGCTGGGAGCTGTACTGCCTTGAGCATGGAATTCAGCCGGACGGGCAGATGCCCTCAGACAAAATGCTCGGCGGGGGAGACGACAGTTTTAACACGTTTTTCAGTGAAACCGGGGCCGGAAAACACGTACCCAGAGCTGTTTTTGTAGACTTGGAGCCTACTGTTGTCGGTAAGTTGGAAAACTGGTGTATTGGAGGCCCTTATCCCCTCTACGGAGCCGGGTTAACCAGTTAGAGCGCCCTTATTCCCCCTCCAGAGCTTGGTTAACCACTGAGAGCGTCCTTATCCCCTCCTGTCCCCACTCCGCGGTCCTTTAACCATTTTTGCGACGGAAAAATTTAGTTTTAAGTAGATTTTTTTAGAAATATATCTATTATAGACGATTTTTTATCATAATTTTAAGAAAATTTTGTCTTCTTTTTTTTACTTTGTTAAATTATATCGATAAATTATTAATTGTTCTAATGATAAATAATTTGATCAAGTTTAAAGATGATAAGAGTCAATCAGTCATTTTGAGAATAATAAGCATTAAAAAATTTTTTATTACGGGATAAAACAAATTTTATTTTGTTTAAGAAATTTTTTATGGAAATTAATTTTATATTATGTTAACAATTTAATTAAATTATTAGAGAAATGTATCTTGAATTTCAGCTATTATTTTTCAACTTTTGATGAATTTAAAAAAATTAATTTTTGACCTTTACTTTCAAATAATTTTCGTGTATAACTGTATAAATTCTACTATTTTTATTATTATAGTCTTGTAAGTTCACGGAATCAATATATTTTGCATACTATTGTCAAGATAATTAAATGGAGATTAATTTTACAATTTCCAAAAATTGATTTAGTGCAATAGAAACAGAAAATAGGTCAAAAATTTTTCCTAAAATAGATGAAAAGTTTCATGTATAAAACTCTGAAAACACTGTCACTAGCGAAAAAATACATTAACTGAGTTAATTTTTTTTTTTTAATTAGAGACATTTGCACATTATCGTGCTAGTTTAGTTGTTTTATACATTTTTTTCACATTCTTTATTTTATTAATATTTAATAATTTAATGAGCATTATGAGTCGTGGACTTTTGGATTTTCCAAATTTTTTTTTTTTTTTCAAATTTTCCTAAGAAATCAACCTATTGACGGTCTAATTAGCAATTTGTCTAACTCCATATTTTTTAATAGAGGGTGATTTTTTAACATTTTGATGTAGCCATAATCGAATTATAAATTATTTAAATGATTCAAACCTGAATATTATATCTCTATTAGATAATAATTATATAAAATGGAGTTAGACAATTTGCTAATTAGAACGTCGCTATAGATCTTGATTAATTGTGACGCTTTTTAACCTTATTTTCTGTATAAAAATGACCAAATTAAATTTTCAAAAATAATTTTCAGACGAAGTACGTACTGGAACTTACCGCCAGCTGTTTCACCCCGAGCAATTGATAACCGGAAAAGAAGATGCGGCAAACAACTACGCCCGAGGCCACTACACCATCGGTAAAGAAATAGTAGATTTGGTATTAGACAGAATCCGTAAATTGGCCGACCAATGTACCGGTTTGCAAGGATTTTTAATATTCCATTCCTTCGGCGGCGGTACTGGTTCTGGGTTCACATCTCTTCTAATGGAGCGACTGTCGGTCGATTATGGTAAAAAATCAAAACTTGAATTCGCGATCTACCCCGCGCCCCAGGTATCTACAGCCGTCGTTGAGCCATACAACTCGATCCTGACGACTCACACCACATTGGAACATTCCGATTGCGCGTTTATGGTCGACAACGAGGCCATTTACGACATCTGCAGACGCAATTTGGACATTGAGCGACCAACATACACCAACCTAAATCGTCTAATCGGGCAAATAGTGTCTTCGATCACCGCCTCGTTGAGATTCGACGGAGCGCTTAACGTCGACCTAACTGAGTTCCAGACAAACTTGGTGCCCTACCCAAGGATCCACTTCCCCTTGGTGACCTACGCCCCGGTAATTTCCGCGGAGAAGGCTTACCATGAACAATTGTCAGTTGCGGAGATCACCAACGCCTGCTTTGAGCCTGCGAACCAGATGGTCAAATGCGACCCACGTCGCGGAAAGTACATGGCTTGCTGCATGCTCTACCGAGGCGATGTCGTCCCCAAGGACGTAAACGCCGCCATAGCGACCATCAAGACCAAGCGTACCATTCAATTTGTAGATTGGTGTCCTACCGGTTTCAAGGTTGGTATCAACTACCAGCCGCCGACAGTGGTACCTGGCGGAGATCTTGCTAAGGTCCAACGTGCTGTTTGCATGTTGTCCAACACAACGGCCATTGCTGAGGCTTGGGCTAGATTAGATCACAAGTTCGACCTCATGTACGCCAAGAGGGCCTTCGTTCATTGGTACGTCGGCGAGGGCATGGAGGAGGGCGAATTCTCCGAGGCCAGAGAAGATTTGGCTGCTCTGGAGAAGGACTACGAAGAAGTTGGAACTGACTCTGTTGAAGGAGAGGCTGAAGGCGCAGAAGAATACTAAATTATAATATTTTTTATTTATTTGTTACTGAGGCTTGTTTCTTTGTTAGTTGATGCGAATTTTTAGGAAAAAGTTGTGATAAAATTTTACAAAATATAATATGACCGCTTGCTAGGTCCAAGGCATTTTTTTTATGGTTAAGTCTGATTAGAGGTTATCGTAATTAACTTCTGTTTTTGGATTAAGATTATTAAAATTTCGCATCAATTTAATGAATTTTAAATGCACGGAAAATTTATATGAAATTTTTATACAAGAGTAATTACTGTTTTAATTTTGAAATAAATTTAATGAAAAATAAATATTATACAAATTAATGCATTTTTTTTTATTTTAGCATTAGCTGTTATAGAATTGCATTTTTAGATATAGACTTGAAATTTAATTAGAGTATTGTTTTGTCTTGCACAGATTCCCAATTCTATCAAATTGGCATGCACCTTTTGGCCATTTGAACACTTGCACATTAATATTAATTATTTAATACTATGAAAACTATATAACAACAATAATTACATAACAACAATAATAATAAACATAATAAGTTTTTGAATTATTTTTCAAATAATTATTTGATTTAAAAAGATAATATACATGGATTGTATTGCTATATACACACTTTAATAATGAAAACAAACATTACATTAATATCCACTAAATTATTATTAAATTAAATTATAATAATAATAATAATATGCATCAAAAATTTTTTCTTCATTTTTGACAAAAAATGGTCGCCGATTTGTGATTATGGTGATAAAAACCTAATAATTTATTGTAATAAATATAGGTAAAACTAAAATTATACAATTACTCATCAGATAATGAAAAATGTGTACTTTTAAAGTAAAAAAAAATAAGTACCTGTAGGCTCCATCTAAGTAGTCAGTTTTAAATTTTGGCAACGAGTTGCACATTAGTGCATAGTATGGAAACTATACACCATATTTAGTCTCCATATTTTCCGTGATTTTCAGTTTTCTTGCAACGTGTTTCGCTACAATCAATTCCAGCGTTGACTTCTAGTTACCCACATGGCATAAAAATTCTTTCCGGAAAGTTTTGTTGAATTTAAGTTGACAATTGTTAATTTTTGACTTTTTTTAAATAAAGTTTTCCAAAAAGTCAACGTTTTTGAAAATTTTGAAATTTTTATCGCCAATTCTGAGTAAGTAAACTATTTTTAATTATACATGACAATTTGAAAAATTTTTTCACATTAATAAAAATTAAATAATTTTTAAATAGTCCGGCTGCCTTATTTCAAAACATCGTAACTAAAAATTGTTAGACCTATTTTTTTTTTTTTTTCAGTACTGTTACATTTCAAGTAACTAATCATACTTTTTTGTTAATATATCTTCTACGTTTAAATAAAACTTTTTATAATAAATAAATTATAGCAAGAAAAATTATGTTTAAAAATTCCATTTTTCGAAGCTCAAAAAAATTATAAAGACAATTTCTTTAAAATAATTTTCTCGGCCTGGTTTATTAAAAAAAAAAATCATAAAATTGTCAAATGTCTGAAAAATTGTGTCATAAAAAATATTACAAAATGACCATATTTTTATAGGTAACAAAATAATGGCCAATCTTTCAAACATGCTTGCAAGCATGAAAATTCCGAATATCTGCTCACTCGAAATCAATGTAACAGCTGTCGAGGAATTATTAAATCAACCAAACACCAACTTCAACATGATAGTTTTTGACAAGAGTCAAGCACTCCGTTATTATACAATTCTTTTATACATGACCGTGATATACTGTACCATGAGATTAATAGTCTATTTGAGAGATCGAGAAGGTAATTAAAAAATTTTTTCACACTAATAGAAATAAAATAATTTTTTAAATGGTTCGGCTGTCTCATTTCAAAACATAGTATTTAAAAATTGTTAGAATTTTTTTTTTTTTTTTTTTTAGTACTGTTACATTTTCTTGTACTTCAAGTAAAAAATCATATTTTTTTACCGATATTTTTGAGCTTAGATGAAGTTTTTTATTAATTTACCGCTCGAACTTTTTTCTTCAAAGGTAAATTGGAAAAAAATCCAATTACTATTTCAAAATGAAGCAGCCTAACTATATATAATAATTTCATACGATTTTTCGCGTTCATATGATTTTATATTTATAAGATTTTACTTTATTTTTGTATAGTTATTACTAAATACAAACAATTTTTTTCAATTAAAAATAATAATACTAAAATTGAGAGATTTTTAAAATTTTTATAATAAATAAATTATAGAAAGAAATATTATTTTCAAAAATTCCATTTTTTAGTTTTTTTAAATAATTTTCCCGACCTGGTATATTAAAAAAAAAAAAAATCAAAAAATTGTTAAGGAGGTTCGAGCGAATCTAATGTAAAAAATAATTTCTAACCTTGAACTTTGAAATAAAGTATACGTATAAATAAATACGTCATTTATCTAATCCCAAAATTTTAAAAAGATTCACCGTTTAGTTACTTAGATATTAAATTTTAAAAATCACATATTTTATCTCCTTATACACGGGCTCTTATGGCGGACAAATGTTTTGTCGAGACTTAAATTATATTTTTCAATATTAACCTCCCAACTTTAACGGATAAAAAACTATACAAAAGAAACTTGAATTATTGCAAAATAAAAAAACAATTTAATAATGATACATTACCGATATAATTTTTGAAATATTTAAAGTTAAATTTTATGTTTGTAACTCGTTTATCGTCAGCCATTTGCGTCTCTGTAATGGGTATAATCAAACGCGCTATTGTCAAATCTGTTTATTTATTCCGGCAAGTAATAAATACCAACGTCATTTTATTACTTTACTTTATTAAATAAGTAAAAATCATCAATTATTAAATTGTTTAAATTATTTTAAATTAAAATAAAGAATTTTTACGAATATTGGAACGACTAAAAGTAAAAAAAAATTTTAACATTATATTGGCTTATTAGTTACGCTCGAACTTCCATAAATGTCGGCTAACTTGTGTCATAAAAAATATTACAAAATAACCATATTTTTATAGAGAACATAAAGTTTGAAGAAATTACATGGACATATGAGTGTATGGAATTTCCAACAATCATCAGCTTAAAAGAAATCAATGTAACCGTTGTCGAAGAATTCTTGAATAAACCAGACAATAATGTCAACAGCATAGTTTATAGCGAGGATCGAGCATTTTCTTGTTTTAGTTATACAACTCTTTTAGGCCTGGCCGTGGAGAAAAGTGACGAGGAATTAATAGCCTATTTAATTGATCGAAAAGCCAATCTAGAAGGCAGTTCATTTCATGGTAAAGAAAATCCTTTGTATATAGCAGCCGTAAACGGAGACACCAAAGTGTTCAAAAAATTATATCACTTGGGTGCTAATATTCATTTAAAATCTGATATAAATTGGTTACCGATAAATTCTATATTACGTTTGTCACCGTTGATAATAGCCGCTCGCTGTGGACACCTCGAAATCATAAAGTTCCTCATTGAACAGGGCTTGGATGTGAATTTTACCGAATCAGAATGTGGCTCTAGCCTATTGCACCACGCTGCTGCTAGTTCAAACTGTAAATTAGTGAAATTTTTGCTGGATAATAACGCGAAAATTAACGCCAAGAACCATAATGGTGAAACTCCACTCTTGTGTGCTATTTCCAGCGAAAAAATCAACATTGTCAAGTTATTAATTGCGAGAGGAGCTGATATTAACAACGGTCAGGGCTCTATTGAAAGATCTACGGAAATACACAGCGTTTATAATAAAAAATCGATTCGTGAGTATTTAACGAGTTCAGGCAAGTGGATGACTAATAAAGATTTTATTCTCAATAAAACGGGACAGCCAATTCTTCATTATAAATTGTCAAGCTTCGATACCTGCGCTAAAAGTTGCAGCATTATTCTTGATGCTGGCGTTGACGTTAACGTTCAAGATTCAAGGGGTCAATTTGATTGTGGTTGTCATATGTCTTACCATGATACCCTACGTGCTATTATTGTACAGCTCATTCTCACATTAACATTAGCCGGTTTAACAGTTTGTAAGGAAAATCAACAAGCTGTTGAAAACGGGTATGAAAATTTAAGAAAAACGTGTCTGGAAGAGATCCAAAAAATGAAAATTAATAAAGTCGGTGTGAGTAATATAACATTTTTTGACGTTTTACATATGAGTTTTCATTATTTAGCGATCCGCTTGAAGTTTGCGGGCTTAGATCAAGTTATCAAAGAAAAATTAATTGCGTATCCGCTGTACAAAGGAATGCTTTATTATAAATTGTCTGAGGTTCGGCGAAGAATAAAATACTTGGAAGAAGTCGAAAAACTTTTTGAAGGAATGTTATGGGATTTAGGACTTCCGGCGACTTTTATCAGAGAATTATGGTCCTATTTTACCAATATAGAGTTGGAAAAATTAATCTTCCATAAAAAAGATTCTGACTGTGAGTTTTTTTAATTTTACGTGTAAGAATTTTTAAACAAGACTGTGAATATAATTTTAAAATGAATTAAATACAAAATAAGTACTAAACAAAATTATGCATTTTTTTATTTATTTGAACACTTGCACATTAATAATAATTATTTAATACTATGAAAATTATATAACATTTGAAGGGGTTTGTGAAATATTCATGACGAATTATGCCTGAAAACGTACATAACAATGATAATAATAATAAACATAATAAGTTGTTGAATAATTTTTAAAATAAAGGCATTGGTTAATCTAAAAAGACACATTGATTGTATTGCTATATACACACTTTAATAATGAATACAAACATTAATTTAATATTCAATAAATTATCATTAAATCCAATTATAATAAAATAATAATCATAATATTAATGTTAATAATATGCATCTAAAATTTTTTTCTTTTTCATTTTTGACAAAAAATGGTCGCCGATTTGTGATTATGGTGATAAAAAACTAATAATTCATTGTAATAAATATGGGTAGAATTAAAATTACACAATGGGCGTGTTTGGCCGAAGTAAGTACTTACTAAACTTAGTAAGCCAGTTAGCATAAAAAAATGTAAATCTTACAAGCTGACTATAGCGCTTTTCGGCCGGGACAGACTTACAGGCTTAGCATAATACAAAATACCGACTTACGTTATATTCCGTACATAATCTTATAGTCTGAATATTATTGACACTGATAAATTTATTAATATAGTTTAATTCAAGTAAATAGTTGTAAATGGACAATTTTATGAGAAATATTTAATTGGAAGAAAAGTTAAACGACCCCTTAATCAACATAACATTTAAACTATAGATTGAGTATGAACAAATGATTACTATTTCTCTTATATTAAGAATAAGTAATATAAATTTTAACGATTATTGAAACAAACAGTCGATAGAGTAATTGAATTTAAAAAATATACATTTCTTTTCTGTCTTGTCATACTCATAGATCTCTTCTTTTAAATGATATTTGTGAAACTTGTCATAAGTTATAATACTATAAACAATTCTTTGCTTGTATTAACTGCTTATATTAATTGTTATCAAATATACTTAACTATCTATAAAAATAGGTATTTAACGTCAGTCATTTTTTCTAATTAAATAAGCAGTCTCTCTTAATCGAATTACCTATACATTTGTTATAAAAGATATAAAAAAATTAATTAAAATCAGAACTACACTGTGTAAGTATAAAAAATTCAAATTAATTTAAAGTATAGTTTTGTAACATCTCAAATAATCTTATGAAAAAGATCTTTTCAAGTACCTCTTAAAGCTTTCTATCAAAGAAAGTAATTAAATATCTTATTGCATAGAATAACCAATATAAATTCAATTCTATATGCTTCGGTCTGTTTTGTTTATATCAATAATAAACGAAAAATCGTCTTTACTTATATTAAGGTAGTACCCTCGCCAGAGGCGTTTTTTTAGGAATTTTTTTTAATTTTGACAGATTAATATTCATATAATTCTATATCGATTGACGCAAATTGAAATTTTTTGACCATCTAGTTTCAGAGATATTTAATTTCAAAGTTCGAATTTTTAGAGGAGGTTATGCACTGTGATATACGGGATACCGAAAATTTTACTCATATATTTTATTATAACTAAGAAACTTTTTTTAAGATTTTCATAAAAAACTAAATTACTATTAAAAAACAGCTATTATTTGTTTTTTTCAAACTTTCATTGATTTTTACCATCTAGATTTTTAAATATTATTAAAAAATAGCTGTATTATTCAAAAATAACCATGAGTAGAAGTGAGTAAGGAATAGCAAGTGAGAAAGACAAAAAATCCTAAACTATACCCAAATTTACTCGCACTATATGTCGCGAGGGTACTACCTTAAGCCATGCTTACTGCGTTAGCACTTATTTTCTGTCCCGGCCGAAAATTTTGTAAGTATAGTAAGTGACTTACTAAATTTAGTAAGTACTTACTTCGGCCAAACACGCCCAATTACTCATCAGATTATGAAAAATGTGTACTCTTGAAGTAATAAAAAAAAAAGTACCTAAAGGCTCCATCTACGTATTAAGTTTTTAATTTTAGAAACTTGAGTTGCCCCTTAATGCGTAGTATGGAGACTATACTCCATATTTTCCGTGATTTTCAGTTTCATTACCACGTGTTTCGCTACCATCAATCCCAGCGTTGTATTTTTGTTGAATTTAAGTTGACAATAGTTAGTTTCTGACTTTTTAGTAAAATTTTCCAAAAAGTCAACATTTTTTTTTGAGAAGCTTGGGTACATTCAAAAACTTACCACTAAAAATTTAAAAATTTTGAACGCGAATTCTGAGTAAGTAAACTACTTTTAGTTATACAAGACAACTTTAAAAATATTTTCGACATGATAGTTTTTGATGTGAATCGACCATTCCGTAATCATACAACTCTTTTATGCACAGCCGTGATGAGAGGTGATAAGAAATAGATAGACTATTTGATTAATCGATTAAGCCGATGTAAATAAGGGTCCACCTGATCGGAATGAAAATCCTTTGTGCATGGCAATCGTAAACGGAGACACTGAAATTTTTAAAAAATTGTATCACCTGGGTGCTAATATTAATGGGTCATTCTATGTCAAATCGACCAATAGTTGGAATCGACCCCTTTCGATTTGGACGAATTTTGGTCAGAAGTTTTCTTTTATCAAAAAAAAGTAGAAAAATTTTTTCAAAAGATATGTAAACTCAAAATTTCGCGATTTTTCCAGTTTTCAATTTTGTTTTGTAATATCTCGAACGCTAGTATAGATACAGGAATGATCTTTCATTTGTGGGTAAGAGTGCGCAATCCCATGTATTTGGGACTCAAATGAATGGGTTTGCGCACGCTTATATATATACCCACTGCGCACATTTACCCCAAATGACTCTACTAGCGTTCGAGATATTACAAAAACAAAATTAAAAAACTGGAAAAATCGCCAATTTTGAGTTTGCATATCTTTTGAAAAAAATTTTTTTATTTTTTTTTCTTTGGCAGAACTTCGTTATATGATAAAAGAAAACTTCTGACCAAAATTCGTCCAAATCGAAAGGGGTCGATTCCAACTATTGGTCGATTTGACATAGAATGACCCAATA